TCTCTCTCTCTCTCTCTCTCTCTCTCTCTCTCTCTCTCTCTCTCTCTCTCTCTCTCTCTCTCTAAAAAACATTTGAAAACAAATCTTTGCAGAGGACGTCACTAATGTTTTGAACCTGTGGCTTGCAGCAGCCGCAGCCAGCTTCCTGCTCTCAGGGAGTTTCTTATCGCTGTTGGTGTTTGTTGGTTGTGATGTTTTGCGGTTTTCTGTCCTAGCGACCCATCTGTTGTATTACAACTGTCTGACGTGAGCGTACAGACCCAAACACACACCCACTGCATCTCACACCATCAGCTGACCCAGATTGTTGGCGTTGACGTGCAGTGTGCGTGTGTGGCTGCTTATTTGCATTGAGTACAACTAAAACAACTTCCATTATTTCTGTTTGCAGGGCAGACTATTGAAAACCAGTTTGACAGTCAGTGCTGACCTGCTAATATGTTATATTCTTAAATTATTTTACTTGGTTGCATCAATAAGACCTAGTTTGAATTCAGCATTTGCAGCACTTCCTTACTTTCTTCATGTTTTTCTTCTTTTATTCTGATTCAACGATGGCCGTAGGTTTTACACATAACTGCAGGCGCTCGAACAATACTTCAGCGGTGACTCGGCTGAGCCACGCTTGGCCTTTTTTGTAGCTTTGTCGCTCGTAGTGTGAACGCATCATTAGAACATCATTGACTTGTGAGGATGTAGTATGTAGAGATGGACACTTACAATTCTGACACCTCAACTCGTACTATCTGCCAATGCGATACCAGTGCTCCCTTTCGCCCGCATTTCATTTTAATTCATTAGTTATTTTTATAGTGATATAAGGCTAGAGATGTTTGTGGCACCACAAACTGAGGTGGTGGCTCACGGCATCCACATGTTCCTCCATCTCACCATGTCCCTCTCCTCTTCCTCGGCACCTCTCCAGGCACGGCCTTCACCGCTTCTTCTCCTGTCGAGGAATAGCGCTGTCTGTGGAGACCTTCTGGAGGCTGGGTCACCGGGAGATCACCGTCTTCGTCCCCCAGTGGCGTCAGAAAAGAGACCGATTCACAACAGGTACACATGTTCATACAGCGCTGTTACGAAGAAGTAGAAGAGTGATGTGCTTCTCATTGTTTGGGGCTCTAATGAAACAGTGATTAGCAGGTTTAATTAAGTGCTGACTTTGAGCTTTAAGGAGGTTTCCGTGTGTTTAAAAGTGGTATAGACATAATTTTTTTTTTATACACTCGTGTTCAGTTACAGAGCCAAACTGTCTTAACGTATTCTTTTACATGTTACCGTATCCTGTTAAATGTGGAAATGTAATATCATTTCATACATATTCATTTCAGACCTCATGGTGAAAGAAACTACACAATTTTAGACACTGGAAGGTCCCCTTTGCTGTGGGTTAAACCCTTCTAAACAAATTGTCTGTGCGTTTTCTTCCTTTCCCATTTTTATTATCATGTAATATTAATGGAATTATTGTTATCTTATTACAGAGCAGCATTTTCTAAACCAGCTAGAAGACCTGCGACTGCTCTCCTTCACTCCCTCCAGAGAGGTGTGTGGCCAGAGGATATGCTCACATGATGACAGGTACACACACACACACACACACCTACACACACACTTTTCTTAAACCTTTGATTAAATCTGACTTCTTAGAGGAGAGAGTCCACCAATCTTGAGTTCTTTACATCCAGACAGCGACATGTAGACACAGGAGACTCTGGGATTGAACTGCTCGGTTATCTTTCTGTTCCGTTATGAACGTATCTCTTCCTAAGCAGGTATCTTAACACCGTGTCCCTTACTCTCACCCCACCCATCACCAACTACAATCACACTGTATTTGCATGATAGAGATGAGTAAGCTTATTAGCTAGAGGACAGATTCAACAGTCCAAAAGTGGTGTAATATGATTCACAATTGTGCAATAACTGCTCTGTAATTGAACCCTGATTGTGAGTTTTGAAAGCCAGATCTCTCAGGACCTTAAAATTGATCAGCAAATATATATATGTTCTCCCAGATATAATGGGTCATTTGTGTTCAGGGTTTGTAAAGATTAACGTAAAAGTCATCCTGACTCAGCAATCCTCTACCGGTGGATTCACCTCTTGTGTGAGCCGTGAAGGAGCGTCTGACCTTTGAGCGAAGGGAAAATCCAGAGTGTCTAATCACTCACACACACACACTCACTCTCTGTGTTAGGTTCCTGCTCCACCTTGCAGAAAAAACAGACGGGATCATCGTAACCAATGACAACCTGAGGGACTTTGTCGACACCTCGGACACCTGGCGCAAGATCATTCAAGAGAGGTGACTGTATGCTACGTATACACAGCAGCTCCGTCAGTCATTCGCCTTTACAGGATACTGGAAAGTCCAGCGAGGCAGACCACCAGCTGGCTTACAAATGTTAAGGGCGTAGGTTACTAATTACTGCCAGTTTATTTACATTTACTACCATTCTTGTTGCTCTTAAAGGAAGAACAAACAGAACCCAAAGAGCAAATTGACGTGGTGAACAAGACTTGGAAGTGTTGTTGGACTGATATGTAAACCTAATGCGTAGATAGTTTTTTGTTTCAGTGCATATGAAATACAAAACATTTAATTAACTATAATTTTTTGTAGTTTCATTTTGATTTAACATTTTAAAAAACATGAGAAATGGATATTATTAGGACAACTGGTTTAACACGCTCTACAGGTTTAACCTGTGTCCCCCATTCTACGTGATGGTGCTGTCACAGGGTAATTCCTGGTCAGACTAGTCTGACCAGCTCAGGCGGATTAGTTAGACCTGTGTTTGTGAAGCCAGGTTGGATAATGTGAAATATGTCCAATAGACTTGGAATTATTCTTCTGTTTCGATAAATTTTTGACTATCAGAAAACTTGCAAGCAGTTTGTGTTATTTCTTGTAAACGTCCACATTAAAAACAGCTCCGAGTTTGCACTAAGGATGAAGATGAAGCAAAGGCTTTCCTTCTGTGCCCTTACCCTCTAAGGCCAACATTTGTATTAGTTTAGACATTGGTCGACAATAGAATCACATTTGTGTAACGGTCATATTTCTTTCCTTTTCACTGATAGGTTGCTTCAGTTTACTTTTGTGGAGGACCACTTCATGATCCCTGATGACCCTCTGGGGAAAAACGGACCTCATCTCAACATCTTCCTGTGTAGAGACAACAGGTGTGTTTCAGCTGCACATGTTTGTACGGTTAGAGCTGAGAGGGAACCTGTGACATCGATCCTTTTTATGATTGTTACGTCATGTAAATACTTTCACTCATGATACGATGAGCTAATGAATGTTGAATTATTGTTGTGGCAGTGTTTTCTCACCGCTCTCTCTATTCCTCCCTGTCAGGAGGGCTCCAGTCACCCCTCCCCCTCTGAGACCCCCGGACTTCCGGCCGGCCTCCCAGCAGCAGCAGCCGCTTTACGTCCAGGCCCTCCACTCCGCTCCTCGGCCCCCCGCCTCCACGCCTCGGCCCCCTGCCTCCCTGGTGCCCCACCCCCCCACTGTGCACTGGCCCCACTCCGGTCCCCCCGAATGGCACCCACCCCGCCACTCCCATTCCCTCTCGCCCTCACCCCCTCCCCAGCGGTCGCCGGGGGAGACGTCGGAGCTGAAGAGGAAGCTGTACGACATCTTCCCCGACCAGAAGCAGCGGATCGACCGCATCCTCAGCGACAACCCGTACATGAGAGACCTGAACGCCCTTTCTGGGCTGCTGCTGGGATAAATATCTGGCTCACGGACAATCAGCAGACACGCGCAGTACATATGAACACATGCAAGAATATGCACGTGTCGGCATAAAAATAATTTATTTCACCATTTCTTCTAGCCTGGAGGTCATGTGAAGTTTTTGATTTTATTATTATTTTCCACAATGACCGATTGGCAAAAAGTCTTTTTCCGACTGATATTTTTCTCGCCCTGCTCTTTGCTCTCAAATCGATTACGGTGAACAACGCTGGTGTCTACAGAGCCAAAATGTTAACACATCGCCATTTAAGTCTTTTTGGTTCCGATGGTCATACATCATTGCAGATCCTTGACAAACAGTCCGGAGGTTCCTTGAATGTGGGATCAACAGCGGTGAACTGGTCACACTGGTGCCGGTGGCTCGAGCTCAGTGCTTGACGGGTTTCCTCTCCTTGTTTACCATCAGACTCTAACACGTCTCTGAATACACAATCGCTGAGCTTTTTATGGCTACAAATTGGGACATAGACAGGTTTTGCATATTCTTACGTTTTCAACATATTAGTTCTACACTTGTTATGTTCTGTAACAGTACAAAGTTTAACTCGATGTCAGTGAGCAGTTTCAGCATTCGATCATCGACAGTACTACTTTTTTTGGGCAGTGTACTTCTAGGAAGCAAGATGAGATCACTAGCTTTAGCATCATAAAATCACTATCAGTGACAGTTGATGTTGGACAGAAATCCCCAAAAGTCATGTTTGGATATTAGACACAACTAACCACATTAGGCATGTGTACGGCCAGTATTTTTAAGCTATATAGATGGGCAGTTATGACCATGTATAGTCCTCTCATTATTTCTGATTTAGCTCACTATATGTATTTTACAGGCTGAATTATTCTCACTTAGCAATCCATTTCTCATATTAAAGCAGAACTGCCCATCTCTATCCCTTTGAAACATCCTGGCCTTCGCTCCTCAAATGATTTCCTGACTGAATCCGACATCACCAATTCTTTACCAAATGTCAAAACAATGACAACTAACTTGTTAAAAAAAAGTATCATTCTTCTTCAGTCATACATCTTGTGTTTGATGATTTAATATCATTGAGGATGCTTTACCGTAGAATTTCATTGTTTGGCAGAAATGTGGCTCAATAATCGGACGTGTTTGAGTGGCATCACTATGACATAACCCCATCCCCACGTCCTCCATCACCGGAGACGTGTTCTAAATGATCTCTGAAAAGCTGCAGAAGAACTCGGGTGCTGAAACTGAATTTGCTGCTCTGGTTAGAGATGTGGTTGAATGTGTCCCCAGAATCAGTTGTTCCAGTTAGACACTTTAAACCTGTGTTTTCAGGAGGATGTGGTCACTAGTTCTACATTAGCGTTCTCCGTTTGTAAGTCCACCGCACTACAGGAGTTTGGATTTATCATTTAATTGATTGAGTTAAAGAATCCACTTTAATTTGAAATCGCACACCATACGTTTGCTCGGCAGAAGAAAAATCTTGCAAAGGCATATTTTCATGTTACATTTGTAATTAGTGTTTAATAGCTGAATTGAATGCACTGAAGGTAAGTAATGGTGTAGTGACTAAAGCAACGTTCCATCGATGAATCGTCGGAGGTCTTGTGGTGTTTTTTTTACCCGGGCCGCAGCTTGCATATTTGATGTGCATCTGAGTTTTATAATATACACACATTTTATCTCCTTGTAAGAGAAAAAGAATCTCTGCACAACAATTTTACAAGGTGTCTAAAAGTAAGTTTTGTTTGTACTTGCTATGTTGTTGAACGGATTACTGAAGGATTTTCTGTTTTTGTTGTATCATAATTCTTTTGTGTATATCGATTTTTCTTTTTTGTAAATAGAAGCATTTTTGGCTACGGTGCCCATCTGGTTTTATGTATGTGGGAAAAAAGGAAATAAATACGGTAGTCCCCATAAACCTTTTTTTGGGAGTGTAGTTTTGTGTTTGTTCACATGTTCACTCATCTACCATGTTTCAAATTGTTGTTCCTTCAATTCATTTTTCAGAGGCAACAATACTGTGATGACAAAAGGTTAAGAATCACACATTCAAAAGAAAGTTTGCGACGTTTTGGGTAAGGTGCTCGTGCTTTCTTTCAAAGAGCTTTATTAAAAGACTGATATCACTCTTCTGGACAAGAAATGGTCTTGCACATAACCACCAGTGAAGGTGTTAATACAATAACCCTTTAGAGGTGCTGGTATTATGATTTTAATACCTGTGACCAGAGTCAGGACAGCAGTTTCCCCGCTCCTAGTCTTTATGCTAAGCTATGCTAACTGGCTGCTTAGTGGTAGCTCCATATTCATCGTACGGACATGAGTGGTATTGATCTTCCCATGTAGCAAGAAAGTGAATATAGGTGCATTTCCCAAAATGTTGAACTGTTGCTTTATATTTTTAAATCGTAGTTACAAGTTAATTACATTATGTAAATATTAAAATACATTGAGCAACATTATTTTTGTACAAATTGGCAGTTTTGAGTTGTTTCCTGAACTCTGATCTATTTTCCTGTCGAGATTTTTTTCTAAATCTTTTTTTAGTAGTTGCCTAGTTGGGATTCATAGTCTGTACAACAGTTATTTACAATCCATGACGATAGTTAGTGTGATATGTCAGTCTGGACCACAGTGGTGGACCAGCTGCGTGACCGACAGATGTGGCCATCCCGAGAGCCAAGTCGCTAAAAAAAAACATAGTGCAGCTGGCAGATTTTTATGGAAACTTCAAAATCCTTGATCCTTGCAAGCAGTTGCCAGGTCAGGCTGGCCCACAGTGAGCACTACAAGTTTTTTTTTGCCATTAAAAAGTACAATTCAAATGCGATGAAATGCATCTGCCCTGGCTCTCTCAGCCCTTAAAAACGACATGTAGTAAATAAGATACTCTTTCGGGCATTTTCCTGAGGGAAGGAATGAGAAGAGGCCACATGCTGTTAAAACATGATGTGATGTCTTCATTGAGACATCCAAAAACTGTCCACATTTAGGGTCGTCTCAATCAAAATGAATAACTACCCAAAAGAACCGCCATGAACATTAACACACTCATGTTAATGGCAAAGTGTTGCCAGAGTATGAATACAAAAGAATTAACAGTATTTGACATTGGTTAACTTTGCATTTGACTTTCTCTCTCACCTGCTTACACAGCTGCTTCAGCATTCAGATGGCAATCCTGCTGTCGAGCTGTGGTCATGTGCTTCCGACAGCACAACAGGTCGGAGTCACTTCTGCAGATTGTTCACTAGGGGGCAGTGTGCACTGAGATATGGCCGCCGCAGATGTGTTTTCTCTCAGCTCACGTGCAGAGAAGTGCATGATGAAAGTGGACAGACTGCAGAGCCTCCGCGGAGGAAACGGATCAGCATGCCATCGCATCCCAGCAGAGACATGTTCTCTGCTGCAAAAGAAGAAATAAACGCATGGACGGATATTTTCAAACTCTAACTCAAAATGTATTTCATTTGAGAGTATGTAACATACAACAGCATGTTATTGTTTGGATGGTAAAGGGGCACAAACATCCTGCTGTGGGTCTGGCACTAAAGAGTTGATCTTAGATCGAGGAGGGTTTTAATTCTCACTCACGTTTGATGGTGATATGGTTTGTGGTGGCACATTTTAGTAGTGTGGTGTTTTTATTTGAAATGTGGTTCGCGTTATCTTCTTCAGAGGTAGAGTAGTCTGTGCTGCAGCAGGTGGTTGGCTTCCACACACAGCGGTACGACCCACACTGACTGTTGTGGCCTCTTTATAAAGCCCCTGTGTCTCAATACAACTATTAATACCTTTATTTTCTTCTAGAAAATGCAAATGATTAAAACAGAGTGTTTAAAAAAGCCTTAAACTTCAGATCAGATAAAAAAAAACTTCTATTTCAGTTGTGAATGAATTAAAATGTATTATGCCTCCTCACCAGCAATAGCCGTGGCCAGAGGCATTGTGTTTTTGGGTTGTCTGTCCGTCCAGGTCCATTCTCATGAACAGGAAAACCTGGAAAACTTTGGCCCGAAAGTCCATCTGGACTCGTGGATTAACTGATTTGATTTTGGTCATCAAAGGTCACTGTGAAGTAAAAAAAAAAAACCAACACCATAACTCAAGAATTCATACGCTTATTATGACAATTTCACACAAACAACATGATGAGGTAACGACGTGTTGGACGGACATGCATGTAAACTGCAATGTTGGTGAAGGACATACTACCGGGAGGTGGTATTGTAGTTTTTTTTTTCCTATTTTCCTAGTGCTTATGATGATGAGATCAATGATTGTCCACAGGCGTGATTGATGAAGACAGCAGACGTGCACTCGAAGTTGGCTTAAGAAAAAACATTTCATATTGCTGTTGACATTCCATATAAATTATTGATTGAATTAAATTTGTAGTATTTCTTTATATCTATTGAAGTATTCAGTTGTGTTTTTGACTGGACAGATGCTGGCTGACAGTACAGTTAAATCTATGGCTTGGTTTATTGTAAGGAAGGCCAGATGTTAGTAATTATGAGGACTGTGGCTTTAATTTCATCTCCAAATCTACAGGCTGCCATCTTTTTGAGCTCTTTTACAAGCGTTGTTTTTCAATTAGATTTACGACATGGCACATCTTTGTGAGCAATGTTTATAGTGTGAAATTCTATTGAAACAAACTGTTTGCAATAACTGTTTCAGTTGTGGGGGGCTAAGAATAGAGGATGACTTTTCATTAAAATGCCAAAGCCCCCTGAATAACTGGTTTTAAAGTGTTGCGTTCTCTTGTGTGGTTTGTTTTAATGAGGGTTATGTTTTTGTAGGGAATCGGGATAATCCCTTTAGTCTGTTTTTTTTATCATTTTAAACACGGCCTTTAAAACCATTTTTGTCTTTAATCTTTGTCCCAAGCCCGAACAAATGTCCTGATTAGGGCTCACATCACCTGTTAAAAAAAACACAATAAATATTATTTTACCACCTTGTTACTTCATGACTCGCTTATAAACCTGATATCGAGCTGATGATATGGTACAAAAGTCATCCGCAGGAGATGAGACCCAAGCTGTGAAACATTAAATACAATGGATGCTAATATGCTCTCTAGATTCGTGGTGACAGTACTTGTTGCACCACCAAACCCCACAAACACCAAAGATTTACATTTGCATTTCTGTTATTAGACAAACTGGGCCTTCCCTGACTCTCCTGTTGGGTTTGTTAGAGGCAGGACAAAACTTCGCATTGAGTTGATCAGGAAACGCTCAGCTCCACCCAACTTGAACCTGAGCAGCGGTCTAATGAGCCTGAATAACAGAAAACATCTGTTTGGTTGTGAAAGGCCTTTGACCAACTAGCATCCCCCTTCATTCCACCTCTTACCCAACACCCACATTGCAAAAACACTTTGCTTTAATATGAAATATTTAGCTGGTATGGTCAAATTGTAGTAGTATTTTTACTAGACTGGTTTTATTTTGTTTTTTAACCTTTTCTAGTAATTTTTAAAACACTTTTAAACATGCATTTAATATCCTACCAAATAAAAAAAAATCTGAGGGTTAAAGGTTGTGTTCATGTTTACACAAGGGCTGCCAAAAGGAACTCAATCCTGCTGGACTGAAACCTATCGCTGTACTTCCTGGAAGGATTTTAAAGAGAAGGCCCTGCAGGTGTTAAGGAGCGCACACCTTCCAGCCGCTTTGCCTTCATGCAAATGTGTGCGTTCCGTGTTTGTGGCAGATCAGATTCAGACACGTGGACTGAGGTTAAATTATTGTGCGTCTGTTTTTCTTTACCCAGAATAATTAGCTTTTTGAGAACCTCCTAGTTTGAGATCCCCATTTTCATACTATTGCTTATTTTATTGGTTAATTCATTGTCCCTCAGAGACAAAAGAAACTCACATAACGCAGACCAGGAGCAGTATTACAGAAGCAACATATGCCTCTTGCAAAGGCAAATACAAATGCAGGTGGCTTGTGTTTTCAGAATAATACAAATAAAAATACAAATGCTAAAAATCTGCCCTGGGGGAATCCCCTGGAGACCAGGTATTGTAATTTGGGACAGATTGGGGTACTTCTTGTAAGAGGCCTTTGCATGCAGTGTATAACTGCACAACTTTGACAGTAACACTGTTTGACTCAGGATTACAGAAAGAGAAGAACAGTTTTTTTTGTCTCCCTATGAATTTTTAGCATTAAACCCTTAGACTACACCACTCTTAAACAAGTGCTTTTGTATTAAATCGTCTTAGGTTCCATATTTTGGTACATATGACATCCCTAAAGAGTTGGTTCATTTTAAAAAAAATGTTTCTTTTTTTAAAGTTTTAATTATTTTGAATGAACTCTTTTAAGAAGCATTAAATGTTGTTTTTTAAATATAAATAATCATAGGATAATAACAATATTTTGTCATTTAAAATGTTTTTAATAATCCAAATCACTTGAAACCCTTCAAAGGGCAACAGTGGTAAAGGCAGCACTCACTCACACACACACACACACACACACACACACACACACACACACACACACAGATCCAGGTAAAATTGATGTGGCCTGGGTTTATGCTAAATGTTTTATCTAAATTGTGTTTTCTAATGTCATGACATCTTTTTCTCTGTCTGACACGTATAGCAAAAATAGGAGTCTTTGAGGCTTGTGGTCGCAGGATGTGATCGTGCCTCCTTCCACCACTTCTAAGCAGAAAATGGGGAAATACTGGTGCCTATTACAGAGTTGTGGCTTTTGCACACTTAATGAGGCCACTCAAGTCTGTGCCACTGTTTCACTGTTTCTCTGAGTCAGACCCTCAATTGCCTTTCTTGTTGCTCCAAGGTCCTGTGTGTGTCATACTCAAGCCCGTAGTTATGGTTATAAAGACACAGACTGTGTCTGTGCTGCACTTGTGCTTTGATCACTGCCACACAGACCATAATTTAATAGCCGGATTTCATAATCACATAATTACATTAGTCCACCGTAAAGTTACGTGGTGCCCATGAGGACTTTAGGCCACACGGCGGGATGGTCGGAGGAAAACATGACTTAATGTATTGTGGGGCAGAGTTTCTTCAGCCAAAGAAATAACCTCTTCTTGAGTGTGTCATAACTCTCATGTTCTCATTTTGGGAACCCTCATGCAACATGTCATGTGACACATTTTGGACTTCCGCACATGCTAGACCAGACTCAAGACTGTCACAGAGGAAGGAATAGTTGGACATTTTGTAAAATATGCTTCTGCGGAGAGTTAGATGACAAGATTGGCATGTCTGTGTGC